AACAATATAAAAAAATTGTGTAACATTGTTTTTTCAATAGAAATAAACAACCAATCAAAATAAATTTCTATCTTGCTGTACATACGTTATTTACATGAAAACCTTTGAGGTTTAAAAGTTTATTAATTATAATGTCGATATCTTTTAGAGATGAAGATTCGTGGACTCCCTTTGAAAAACTTTTACTTGTACAGCTGGTCTATAAATACCCAGACAACTGGCAGTTAGTAGTTCGAAATATTAAGAGTAACACAATGATCTCTCATCCACCGGAGTTTTTCACTCAAAAGGTTTTTTTTTTTTTTTTGTTATATGTTGATTTAGATTTAGCACCTTGATCTACTTTAACAACAGTAAGTTTTTATCGCTGTTATTTGTTATTAACACTTGCTCACCTTATTTTCAAAATAGAATTGTTCTAGCAAATATAGAGCCCTTATTGAGCCATATGAAAGAGATGAATTTGAAAAGTATGTTTCATAAGGCTGAAATGAGATCTATTTAGACTAGATTACCTAGTATAGTTCGGAAGACATACCTACCAGTGGTGGGTTGTAAAAGGAAATAGTGAATAAAGATAAAACATGATCGGTGTTGTCAACTAGACCAATGCTGGACTTAGTAATTTTATAAGTCTTATATATGGTTCAGCCAAGTAACTTATGGCTACTTGACATGGTAGAGGGATAATACTGATCATGGTATTTGTTCATCATTAACAAGAATAGATTTCAATAATATGTCAATAATTATACAATTTTTTATATATCTCAAAATTTATTAATGGAAAAAAAAAATAAAACGAAATTTTAGTGAGAATAAAAAGAAGTTAGGAGACATTTCTGCTTCGTTAAATGGTTTGATTAAAGTCTTCTTTAGATTTTTTTCGTTTTTCAATCGTATACATTAGTGGAGTTTGAAATTCACCATTTTTTGTCGAAACATATATTATCAGACGAACATCGCATGCCACCAGCTGCGAAATTGGCCCGAAAACTTTACCAAGATCGTATTCATGAATTAAGATCTCAGGTTTCGTCAACCGAACAAAGACTTCGGTAAACAATCGCGTACATATTGATACAGGCATTCAGTTTTTCACAATTTGCTATGAAATGTTTCCAGTGACACACTTTTTTTCTCAAATGTGCAAAGGAACATCTTCACCGAAATTGAAGATATTAAGGCCGGAAAATACGATGATAAATTGGCAGAAATATTGAAAACAGAAGATGAACAAAAAAGTCAAGACCATTCCAAAAAAGAACGGTTTTCGGAACGACAAGAGGAGGAAAATCCAGATACATATGATGAAATTGTAGAAGAAACGGTACTTGCATCTTCTGCAAATATTTCAGATCATGCAGGTAGATCATCGACTCAACCTATTGTTGTTGATAATGATAATGATGGCCCAATTATTATTGAAGAGCCAGATGTGTCAGAAGTAAGTTCGGATAAACGAACAAAGAATGCTAATGAAGAGAAAAAAATAGGAATTTCTTTTACGGATAAGAAATTAGAATTAAATAATGAAAACGATAAATCGCTAAATATGAACGATAGAGAAGGTGCACAGGTATTAGAAGCCACAGGGAAAACAGAATCAATAATTTTTGATTCTACGGAGGAAAACGAAGTTGATCAAAAATCCAAATTGATACATGCAACAGAAGAATCCTTTACAACAATTAGAACACCATCAACGCCACTTACGGAATCAAACGAGCCTAAATACGATGAACAAATTGAACAATCATCAGAAGTACAAATGAACACGGAAATTATGGAAGAGGACATTCTAAATGATTCACAAAAGTCAACAGATCGAGAAGTTGATATGATGGATATTGATGTGAAAATAAAAGATAAGATTGAAGAACCAAT